GATGAATAGCCAGGGTGTGTTTTATGAGCTGCCTCCTTGTTTCCTGTAGGAGATTCCAGCCATACACACCTACCCTGGTACCAGCACCACTTATAGGGCTGAATTTCCACCTAGTATGAATTCTTTGCGTTTCTCCAAAAGGTTTCTAGTTTTAGGGTTAATAACTAATGAAGACGCCCTGGGCATCGCGTCACTGCTGGCTTTGTTATGTTTATCAGTCATAGGGTCCTTTGCATTCTAAGAACATGCTCACATGAGTGTGCAACTGTGCACACTCATCTCACGGGTTTTCTCTTGTGTAGCAGCTGTCTCTCTTGTTTTATGCTAATGACTCTGATGCTCAACAGTGAATGCCAAATGGTTGCCTATGGGCACACAGGATGTGACTGCACACCGAGTCATTCTCCCATTTCCCGGCCTGTTTCTGACTCTTCTCACTTAAGCTCTGATGCCCTCCAGAGGTTGTTTGTCCACCACTGGGGATTCTATCACAATTAGGAAAATCACGTTCCCCAGAGCGGGCAGAAAGACACACCCTTGCCAGAGATCAATACAACTAAGGATAGGAGGCCTCAGTCCAAGGACTCAGACAGCCAAAGCCTTCTTGTAGTTGCTGTTTTACTACTTGGCAAAGATGTTTGTATGTCTCAAAATATAAAAGAAAGGAAGGGAAGGAAGGAAGGAAGGAAGGAAGGAAGGAAGGAAGGAAGGAAGGAAGGGGAGGGAAGGAAGGAAACAAGGAAGGAAGGAAGAAATAAAAAGAAGGGAGGAAAGAGGGAAGGATGAAGAAAGTTGAGAAGACAAGAAAGGAGAGAAAATGGAAAGGGAAGAGAGGGAAAGGGAAGGGAAGGGAAAGGAAGGGAAGGGAAGAGTGGGTTTACTTGGGGACCACAGTTCAAGGGGATACATACCAGATCCTATCAGACAAGGGAATATCAGCCAGCTGGTCACATTGCATTGGCAGTCAGGAAGCAGAGAGCAGACAGGAAGTGAGGCTCAGGCTGCAGAGGCTTTAGCCCTACCCCAGCTTCATCTCTTAAGGCTCCACAACCTTCCCAAATACTGTTACTCTCTGGGGACCAAGTCTTCAAAACCATGAGCCTGTGGGAGACAGCACATCCGAGCCTTGCTGCACCCATCATATGAGAAACTCCGGACCGCTGGCAAATCACAGAGGGCAGTAGGTACTAGCATGGAGAGAGGTACTAGCGTGGAGAGGGGCCCAGGCTGCTTTGAAATGCAGCCTTAGCAAAACAATTCATTTACGGAGGACCTTTTTTTATTTTACAAAATGTGGAGGAAAAAGAAAATAAGATGAGCATATATAGAGAAAGAGGAAACAGTAGCAGCCTGTGGGCGTCACAGCATTGGCTTCCTTCACCAATGTGTCAAGGTGAGAGGATGTGATTTTAGTGATGAGTTTATCCATTCGATGGACATTTGGTGAACTATGTCTGCTACATACCAGGGACCTAGTGTCGAGGGTATCCAGGCACTTTATACTCCAGCTAGAGATAACGAAAAGCTAACCAATAGAAAAGTTAACAGTTGACTTTTGATAAGCAAAGTGTAACTTTCATTGTAAAAAATCTGTTTCTAAGATGAGGGAGGGAGGGAGGGAGGGAAGGAGAGAGAGAGAGAGAGAGAGAGAGAGAGAGAAACATTACCTAGGAAAGGGGAGAGAATCGTCCTGTAGAGTAGTGGCCTTCTGGGATGTGGAAATAAGTTAGATGTCATATCTGATTCCTGTATTTGTTTTTTTGTTTTGTTTGCTTGTTTGTTTGGGTTTTGTTTTTTGAGGTAGGGTTTCTCTGTGTAGCTCTGGCTGTCCTGGAATTCACTTTGTAGACCAGGCTGGTCTCGAACTCACAGAGATCCACCTGCCTCTGCCTCTCAACCTCTCAAGTGCTGGGATTAAAGGCATGCACCACCACTGCCCAGTTTCATATCTGACTCTTGCATTCACAGACACTCATTTAAACAGAAAATGTAGATTAGTTTGCTTTCTTTATTATATTAGAGTTTATATTAAATTTCTCCTAGGGAAAACTTATCAAAGAGTAGACTAATACTTGCTGGTTTTACTATTGGATAATTATGAATTGTGAAATAGAGCCGGCAGCTTCCTCCATAAAATCATCAGCAATAGGAGTAATGATCGGGTGTAATTGTTTTAGTTTATGAATAATTACTTATTCTCATTTTATAATAAATTTCAAATATTACACCATGCCCAGCCAGGAGGCATGCCTATAATCAACCATTATACTTGAAAAGCTGAATGGGACCCTGAACCTCAGGTCAGGATTCCGGGTCCCAGGAGACTGTGCACCGAGACCTTGTTGCAAACATTTTGTTTTAAACTTCTATTAGGACGGTTGACTTTGAAGTAAACTAGAATAATTAGCACATTAGAAACAAAAGCTATTTCACCTAAGACCTCACTAATGGAGACATTTCATCTTTAAGCTATACTCTGTCTTTAAAATTAAGTTGAAGTTGCAGAGAAACCAGATCTTCTAGCTTCCCATGTTAAATGTGTTATTTAAAAACCCCAGGACAGTATGCACTCATAAAAAAACACTTTACTGTGTCAGACAACAGGTGCTCTGGACTCGGAGACAATGGGGACTGTGATTTCATGCGCAGTTAGCCTGGGCAGGGAGACAGTTGCTTAGGAAATAGAGCATTGTGTGAACTGTGGATGGTGATTTACCTCTGGGTGTGAGATTCATTGGGAAGCAAATCTGAGCGGTTGGGTTTCTCACCAACAGATACCACCTATGCTTTGCTAGCCCAAGAGCACCCCTGTCCCAGTTGGCTTTCTATTATGGTGATAAACACCAAGATCAAAAGCAATTTGGGGAGGAAAGGATTTGCTTGGCTTACAGCTTTTAGTCCATCATGAAGGGAAGCCAAGGCAGGAACTGAAGCAGAGATCATAGAGGAAGGCTACTCGCTGACTTGCTCCCATGGCTTGCTCTACCTGCTCTCCTATAGTCTCCAGGACCACCTGCCTGGGGGTGGAACCACCTACAGTGGCCTGGGTCTAAGTCTATCATCAATCAAGAAACTGCACTATGGGCTTTCCCACAGGCTAATCCAATAAAGGCGGTTTCTCAAAGGAGACTACCTGAGCTCAGAAGACTGTAACTTCTATCAACCTGACAAAACCCAACAGCGCTCTCCCACCAAAATCAAGGTGCAATTTAATCATTCGATCTTACTTGAAAGGGAACTGTGTGTGACAGTCCCCACCTGTAGGCTCAGCTGCACACTTAGCTTGTAAGCACCGAGCCGCCGTCCTCGGGGCTAACCACGTCTGATGTGACTTGGCGTGCTGCACCAACCTCTTCTCATCTTCCCAGCTTCGCCTGTGCCCTCACCAGAGGCAGACCGAGATAGCAATCCATCACTCCCTTCCTAAAACACATTTTAGTTCATATCCATTCATGCACATATTATGTTTGGGTCAAACCCAGTCTGTTTTCTCCCCACCCACCCCACGCTACTTCTCCCCTCCCCCCAATAACATGTGCTCGTTTGTTTAAATGCACCGAGTCCACTTAGTGCTGTTTGTAAATGGACGTACCTCTACTGGAACACGGAGAGCCTCTTGGGGGAGCACATGCATGGAGGAAGTTGACGCTCCCCCTGTTCACCCAGCAGCCACCAGTCACTAATAGCTCCTCGGCTAGGAACAGAACTCTCTGAGACCCCCTGCTCCCTGCTGGGGTTTGGGCTGCCTTGATCACCGACAGGTGTTGTGCAGACAGCCCCAGCTGCCCTGAGTTCTGTGCGCGAGGGTTCCGTCATGCTCCGTATATACCGTTGTGCTTTAGGTACCCACAGAACCTCTGTTACTTGCTTGGCAGGCAAGGGAGAACCAAAGCAATGCAAGCCCTAAATGACCACCCAGGACAGTGAGGCTAGATGCAGGCACAGCTTCCGGGTAGGATGCCCCTGTACACAGCCCACAAGAGATTCTTCCCTGTGATGAAACTTGGCTAGTGGAGGAGGAGATGGCAGAGTCCCTCAAAGTCTGGTCCTTTTTCTGTTTTAGGATATAAACCTGCACACAGAGCTGTCGAAGACTTGTAAGTGGCTTAGGCTATGGAGTGGGCCCTTTGGTTTGTAGGTGTTAAATCTTAGGAAGGGTGTTTAGCCATGGAAAGAGAACGGCTTCCCCTGCGGTAAGGTCTCTGTGGTTGGTGACGTTCACAGCCTCAGCCATGCTGCTAGGTCCTAAGTGGCAACACAAGGTTGGACCCAAAGGTCGTGCGGTATTTCTGCGCTCTAAACCCTAGGTTACATCTGAGCCAACGGCTGCACTACTGCCAGATGCCACCATGTCACCTGGGCTAGCATGCCCGACTCTTCCTCAACACTGCTGCTTCTGTAGTTACCTCTTCTACATCCAAGTCTTCAAAGCTACGGGCAGATGGAAGCTGTAGATAATACCCCAAAGATTTGGGGACACATTAAGGGATTTTGTTTTTTATAAATTTGCAATGTCTTTGTGTATGTGCATATATGTGTATGCACAGGTGTGGAGGCCAAAGGTCAACCTCAGCTCCTCAGGGGCCTTCTACATTCATTCATTCATTTCTGAAACAATGTCTCACTGGCCCAGAGCTCTCAAACTAGGTTAGACTGGCTGACCAGTAAGCCTTAGGGATCTGTCTCTGCCTCCTCAGTTCTTCAATTGCAAGTTACATGCCCTACTGCACCTGACTTAGGATTTTATGTTTCTATGACAGGACTCTTGCATAAAAAAATAAGCATGTCTAGGGCATTAGAAATATACTTTTATTTCTCATGTTTATGTTTATAATATTTTCGAACCCTTTCTGTAGGAATTTGACTCTTGTTCTGTCCGTGTGGCTGCTAGTCACACTGAAGACAGACGCCTTCTCAGTAAATGCCCCGAATAAGAACCACACAAGATGTAGCTCCCTGTGTTGATGGCTTCCTCTCTCTTCTTGGCCTCCATGCTCCAGGTGGGAGAGTTCAGAGCCCATGCCGCCGAGTGGACAGCCAACGTCACAGCCGAGTTCAAGGAGACAAGGAGGCGTCTGAGCGTGGAGATCTATGACAAGTTCCAGCGCGCCACGTCCGTGAAACGGAAGCTCTCCGCGGAGCTGGCCGGAAACCACAGCCAGGAACTGACTCCTTGTAGGAGGACCCTATCCGTGAACCACCTGACCAGTGAGAGGGAAGTCTTGCCTCCCTTGCTGAAGGCTGAGAGCATCTATCTGAATGGCCTGACCCCTCAGTGTGCTGGCGAAGAGATAGCTGTCATTGAGAACATGAAGTAGCTCCCGCTGGGAAGAGTCTGAGGTGTAGCCACAGGGCAGGGCTTCTCTAGGCTCTTGGGACTGTTGCTGGTAGCATTTAAACCTTGTGAATGATGAGCTCAAAGGGAAAGCAAATAAATACATCCATCTGGTCACCTTACATCCAGGGAGTTTGGAGTCCTGAGGCGGCAGCACTCTGGGGAGGCTCGTGAGCTGTCCACTGAGTGGTAGTGGTGGATAGGCAGTGTTGATGCCTTTTCGTGCCCAGACTGTTTCCCTCCCCCTCTTTCCTAACGTGCCATAAGGCCTCTGAAGGAATCGGAACGCTTTGGTAGTCATGTAGCTTGGCGGAATATGCCCTCGACTTTTCGGGGGTCGCCTGACTGAGCCTGGATGCAGACCACTTAGGGATGACAACATTTCTTTTTGTAAATGGCAAGAAATTCTTATGCAGCCTTTTACCTAAGAAATTTCCTGTCAGTGCCTTAATTTACAAAGAAGCAGGACCCTCTCTTGTGGGCTTGTGGTCTCCCCTCCCTGCCCCTACCCTAGGCTGACCTCCGCTGACTCTTATTTCCCCCTCCCGTTCACATACCGTACCTTGCTGGAAGTGATGTGTAGCTTGGCGGAAGGAACAGATGCCAGTCCTGGGCACAGAAGGAACATGCAGGAGCTCCGGTGTCACAAGGCAGCGCAGAGAAGGGAGGTCAGAGAAGGCCCTCTGAGTATTTATTTGACTGGGGTACCAATGGTACATCTATATATATGTACAGAGTAATAATTATCCAGCCGGTAACATCGGCTGCTTCTACATAGCCCCCTTTCTTCCTGGCAGTATTTGGAATTCATTTATTAATAACTAGTCATTTTTTTAAAAGGCAGAAGAAGTGAGCACATGCTTCTATAATCTAAGTGATCTAATAGAAGAAAACCGTCCCAACTGATATCACAAGGTGATTTCAAACAGTTGGTGTGAATTCATTCTGATGAAAAGAAAATAGCGAAGCCACGTATGTGTATTTGCTAATAAATGGCTGACTGCCAGCTTGGACTAGCCCAAGGTACAGAAGGCGCATACCCTTTCTTTCCTTAAGTGGCTCTTGCCAAACTGTAGGGTGGGGTGATGCCCAGAAAGAGGGAGGACAGCCCCAGCCACCCTGGAGTCCTCTGCCTGGGTGCCGAGCACAAATGCTGGTCTGGGGGTCACTGTGACTTTTGCACACGGAGTGATGCAGACTGCCGACCTGCGTCATCTCTAACGGCAGAAAATGCTGAGCAGCACAATGTAAGTCCCCAGAGTTATTTTTTTTTAAAGTGAGAGAAGGCTGATAATCCGTTTAATTTAAATTTATAGCCTATAATTCTTTTGGATGTTTCAAGATTCAGAAAACGTTCATCTTGCAAACCGTTCCCCTCTCCCTTATTTTCATACTCACATCTACTGTACACTGGATGTGTAATTTTTAAAGTGCAGGGGAGAAATGATTCCTCGCCATGTAATTGCAAAACTAATTTCTTTTCCTTTCGGGGGAGGGGCGGGCGTAAGTGAACAAGTGGCATTCAGATTAAAGTCTTAAGAAATCAACCCAGGATCTTAAAAAAAAAAATCTAAAAGATTCATATTTTCCAAAATTTGAATTTAAACTAGAAATGTAAATATCCAGTTAGCTTGCAGAGAGTACTTTTATAAACCCGGAAAAATTCTAACCAAAATTCTAGCAAGTCAGACTCCTTTACAAAGAAAGCTCCCCTCCATTTCCTCAGTAGTCATCTTGAAAGCTGATATGGTGGGATGCTCCACATGAAAACTGTGAACCGGAAGGACGAATAAAGTTTGTAATTAAAGTCGGAGTCTCGTGTGTGCTGTGAGAACGTCAGTCAGATTCAAGCCTGACAGAGCGGAGGGTGTTGGTTTTCCTCCTGAGTTACTGCCAGGTCTTCATTCACAATAGACAAGCAATCGTCCTGTTGGTGATTGAACCTAGGCCTTGCACATGGACACATAGTTTACTATGTTTACTTGGTTTTTAAGACAAAGTAGCCTAGGCTGACTCCCAGTGTGGGATGCTTCCATCCTCCCCTTCACATTGCTAGACACTACCATGTTTCCAGAAGTGTTTATGATGCTCAATGCTGCCCTCTTAAATACATACATGGTAGACTGTGGGAAGATGATACTTGTGATATCACCCACTTTCTGAGTGTTCCTACTGTCTCTTGTTGCATGCTTTGATCGTCTGTCATTGCTAGAACTCGCCTTGACATTGACATAGTCTGAAAATCGAACCCAGACAAGCAGCCGCTGCCTGTAGGAAATAATCAAGTATCTGAGTAGTACTGAAGCTTCAGGAAGGCAGCTGCCAGCTAATCTTCCAAACTTTATGCCCCAACTACTGACTGCTTACCATTTTTCCTTTTCCCCTTTCCCCTTTTTGCAGTACTGGGGATTAAGTCTAGGGCTTTGAGCGTGCTAGGTAAGTCCTCGCCTTGAATTGTAGCCCCAGTCCCTTTTCTGTTTTCTTCTGGGGTTGCACTAAGTTGCCTGAGCAAGCTACAGGCATGCAACACCATGCACAAGGTACAAATGTATTCTGTATATGTATCTGAGAACTGGTCCCTGCACGTGTGGTTTGACTATAAAATACCCCCTCACACACATGCATGTTCTGAACACTGGGGTCCCACCTGGGGATGCTGCTTGCGAAGGTTGTGGAAGCTCTAGGAATTTGAGGCACATCACTGGTCACAGTGGATGGGCTTGGGGGTTTTTAGGCTGGGCCTACTTCTTGTTTACTCTGTTTCCTGAGGAATGAAATGTGGCCAGCTGGCTTCTCCATGCCTTCTCCACTGGTTGCCAGGTCTTCCTTCCCTGACGGAGTCCACTGCTCTGGAACTGTAAGCCAACCAAATCCTTTCTCCCTTAAGTTGCTTTTGGTCAGTGTATTTTACAACAAAGTAAGGAAGCAAGTCACCTCTGGCCTGGGGAGATTTTACCGGGGCTTGAGTATCATACCAACTGAGGCTGCTTTGATCTTCCCCAAGCTTTGTTTTGTTTATTCTTCTATAAATAATACTGATTAGGATTTTGATGTGACATTGCAATTCCTAATGAGGTGGCTTTCTTCTGAATCAGTAATAAGTTATTCTATCTTGGAGAATATTTGGAAAAAGAAATTGAGTAGTTAGATGAAGGTCAGAAAGTCCCAGTTCCTTATTCTCAGACCTAGGTAGCAGGTAAAGGCATTTGTCAAAGGCTTCTGCCCCTAACTGAGAAAGGGATTCCTCTGGAGTTCTTCAGGTTTGTAGCACGTAGTTCTCATCTCACTGCTCCATGGTTTATGCCACATGTGCTTTTGTATGCTTCTCTCTGTTAATGCAGTAAAATATGAAATTTCTGAAGCTCAAAGGGACTCAAATATGTTTCTTAACCTCTAAAAAACAGGGTGAAGGGTGATGTATATGGTTCTGTCTCTTTCTCAAATTCTAAGAAACAATCAGGATAGAAAGAAAATCAAATCCCACCAAATTCTATGTCACAGATCAATCAATAAAAGTATTTGATTATTGAGGCTGGATGCTTAAAGATTTTTCAGGAAGTTTTAGATGAAATGCCCAAACTCAAATCTGGACACTCTGGAGACCTGAGATTGCTATGCATTGTTCAGTTTGTCATTTTATTTTTCACATTTCTTTAAATTTTTGCCGTTCTCATAAAATTCATAATATATTTATAGCTCTCATTTCTTATTAAAGTGGGAACATAAATTTGGAAGGTATGTAAAGATATGTATTTGAGTCCTAAGATTATTAAAATCAGTATTGGTTTAGGCTAACATGTGCTCACTGAAATATTATTTTTAGTGACATCATCACCTGAATGTGCCCAGGCACTGCTTCCAGTGTAGTGTGGCGATACCTGTCTACTTGGTAGGGATTTTGGAGAATGAGACCCATTGCTGCTTTACATTGGGAGTTGTCATAAGGCCCACCTGCCCCTGTCACCCATGCCCCAGCTCAAACACTTACGTCTCTTTCATAATCCATCTCCACACAAAACACCACTGTTCCCTCCTGAAAGATGGGAATCTTAAGAACACAATGTTAGAATCTAGTTGGTCTGTGGGCCCCAACTCAACTGAGAGACTTGTCACTTGTTTGTTATTACACGTTTAATCCTACCAATGAGGTCTTTATTATTTTCATTTCCTACTTTTGATTCATGGTGCTTGCTATGACAACTTTTCATTATTATTTTATTTTGCAAGTGTGTCTAGAAATTAGCTTCTGAACATATTTTCTGATACTAAAAAGTGGATGCCTTTTAGTGGCATTAGCTAAATGCACATTAACATCCTTGCCAAACAAAATTCTTTTTTTTTTCATGCTTAAATGACTGTATATGCCACCTGGAATTGAATCCAGTATTTGACACATTTGAACTATTTCCAATGTGGTGTGTTAGTCACTCACAAGGTATGATATTCAAATGAGCTCAGAACAAGCATTTCTCACCCAGTACGTGGCTGACTGTTATGAGTGATGGTCCTCTTTTGCATTGTACATGAAGAGACGCTAATATGTCAATCATTTTGCGCTGCCTCCTTTGCTTAAACGCCGAGTTAGACCTTTAAATCATATTAACATTGGACTTAAGTTTCCACATTTTTCAGTAAACATCAGTAAGTGACATTTCTTGGTCCAGATCAAAATATAATCAGTAACCAAGTGTTTCATATTTGGGACAATGTGGCACGAAGATTCTACCCATGCATCTGATGAAGCCACCTTGCTTCTTGTGAGGTAGAGCCTTGCTCACTCATGAACAAAGCTGATTCTGCCATTGCCAACGTCTCCAGGCAGGTTAGCCAAATGCATAAATCTCCCTTACAACGACAATGTATATGCCAAGTAAATATGACCTTGTTCCTGTCAGCACTGGTCAAGAACCTTCAATGAGTCAATCACTAAAGATATAAAACCACTCAGAAGACAGAGAAGCCCCCCAGTGGTCCCTGAGAGACAGATCTGAGTCTGAACTATGCAAGATGACTCAGTAGGTAAAATTGCTTGCCTGATCACCAAATTCTAAGCCTGTAACCCATGATGGCAGAAGTTGTCCTCTGACCTCCATATGTTCCTCATAGCATGTGCTCACACCTGTACATACTTCTCTCTCTCTCTCTCTCTCTCTCTCTCTCTCTCTCTCTCTCTCTCTCTCTCTC